GTACCATATTTCCACTACAGGTCTAACATAGGATTTAGGCCTGCAGCAATACCTTGGGATTTTTCGAATTCAGTGCTTTGAAGAGAGTATAAATTCTGTTGTTAGCTTAGAAACCAGAGACTTATAATGTGTTTCAAACCAAGTTTGTTCGAGAATATGGGACCAAGGTCCTTAAAGACACTTCCCGCGATCAAAATGGCTCCGTGCCTCTGGCATCCTTACACGCATTCACAGAGAACGTACCACTTTCGTCCCTCAAAACGGCGAGATAAAGAAGTTAGAGACATGTGAGCGTTGCAACTTGTGCAACATCATACTGTAGCTGTGCGAGACAACGGCTCACAAGGGGATTTGCGTGTGTACATAGCGTTGCCTGGAGCGTCGTAGGGCGATTTCCTATGCTCTTGGTTGTATGACGAATCCTGCCGATTGCGCTTCTCCTCGCGATTCATTCGCTTTTTTTTTCGTAGAGAAGCTTTTTCTTTGTGAAGATACTTTGTAGTGAAGAGGCGTGAGAATAAGCGCGTACTCCTTCACTAAAAAGCATTTTCACAAAGGTTTTTGCAAATGTCCGTCTTACCTGGTAAGAATATTTTCCTCACCCTCTTTCACGGTTTTCTCCGTGATATTCTTGTTGTTTCTGTATCACTTTGCTCAGTTGTCAACAAATAATTCACTCTTATTTTTCTTGCATCTTGTCCAACTATTAAGCTGCGGTATAATTTCTCGTCATTTTCTGATTTTTTTGATTTTGCAGTGGCTGTTAGTGATAAGGATTAAAAAATGAAGAGATTTTCACTTCACCCTTAACACACTTAACGTTGTGCAATCTAGGGCTGCCATTGAGAAGACGTGAGGACAAGCACGGCAGCGGAAGCAGTTACTCTAGCAGGTGTAAGTTTTACATTGCATGTGTGATGGCTTGACTTCTTACTTGCTTTTCGCCTAACCTGTTCTATTAGATTAGGGAATGAGTTCCCGTTGTTCCAGTCGTTTGAACTTGCAGTCATGGTCATAAGGATAATCAAAACAGCAATGGCTGCAAAAGCAAACGATGGGGAGAAACGGCGAGAAATTTTCTATCAGCGAGAGCTTCTCTATTGTGTCATGGCATGCAAACTCACAAGTGTTATGATTAGGACACTTTTTTCAGGATACATGACGAGACGACCATCCATCAAGCAGGACACTGGAACCATTGCAGATTATGTGAGATTGGCATTGCCTTACAACTTCCGATTTGCTTGCCTAAATACAGCCTACCTTTGCAGTGTGTTCGTGGGAGAACCGTCATGGGAGTCCGAAGCAAAAAGGATACAAAACTTGTTGTGGGCAGCATCTTCAAGGGAGCACGAAGAAATTTCTGAGGCGAGGTTTCCTGATAAAACGTATTGCCGGAAGGTGAACAACATGTTTTCGCACCGCTTTTTTTTATGAAGGTACTTTCACTTTGGGTAGCTGACCCAAGAAACAGAACAGACAGACAAGAAATGGAGTCAAGCGAACGGAAGAGTCCGCGGAAATGATCCAATGGACCAGCCTCAACAGGTTATGGAGTTTCTGCAAACAAGCTCCACGGCCAACTGTTCGCTGAGTCACCTGCGCGACGAACTATGAAAACAATCGTAGCGGTGGCAATCTTATACAACCAGGGCACTTCGCAAAGAGGGGAAAAGAAGGATAGAGTGTTGGCGTTGAAATTTTTGAGTTGATTTTCTCTTTATCCACAGCGTTAGGAAACTCACGTTTTGAGAGCTAGTACCTTTTCGTCATTTTGAGAGATAGGTCGTATCGCAGAGAGTAGGTTGAGGAATGTGTTCGCAAAAACTTTCCCCAGCGACATAACGTGTGTCGCGGATGCGACGGTCGCCGTTGGGCGCACCTCGCGCCCCGGCCCATCCGCGCTCGGTTCCCACGGCGTGCGCTTCACGTGCGCCGTGGTTCCGCCCCTGCGAGCCATTATTGTACATCCGAACCGCGGCCGGTCGATTTCACCGGGTAACGCGGTGACAGCGCCGAAGGTGGAGGGGTGAAGTCCACTCCGAAGCTGGAGGCAGCCGAGCGCCAGCCATGAGCCGGCCGATGTCCATCCCCTGCTCCCCGACTGGGAGCAGCCTCCACTCCAGCCCCGACCAGGATATCGACGATCGCATGGATCATCGAGGAGCATCGCAATGAAGCCGTGTAGGCCTGGAGGCAAGGCCCAGGATCCTTTTGAGTAGACAGCCATAGAACGAAGCCAGTAAGATCGGCGACCAGGGAGAGAGCAACTATTGTAGTGTGGTGAGTATTTTGTGTTAGTAAAATATTCATTTATAATGTGTAGTTGTGCTTCAATGTGTTGGTATTGCCATCGTTTCATATATGTCAATGTGGTGTATTGCGTGGGTACTGCCTGCACCACAGACCAGGTGTAGGTAGGGTTGGGTACCACTGGTCCTTGTCGCTCTAGCTGTTGGGGCGGTTGAATAGGCGGTAAGACCCCATGGTCCCCGAGGGGTGGTCCGCTCCTCCTGTTAGGGGGCGCAGGAGGAGTGTAGTGGGCCCGATGGAACGTCCGACTGACACGTCGCCCGTTACAGGGATTGACGCGAGAGTTACCCTCTTTATTACGTTCACTGTAGGTTGGCCTCATTATTGCTTCACTCACACCTAGGGTTACATCGTTCTATTACGTTCTTAGTAACTGACCCATCACCATAGCCGTGCACACACAAGCGCCTACGGTACAGAGGCTGTCGCCGCAGGACCCATACGGTCACTGACCGGCGCAGAGGATTTCGCAATCAGTAGAGCCATCGTTAATCGATATGCGTATCCCACTCGGGACAGTCCTCTTCCCATCCAAGTTAGTTCTCACTCTTGTCTCCCTCATATCTTATCAGTCGATCTTCTGATGCGTGCTGATGCCATTTTATAATGCGTGCTGATTCCAGGATCACTTATTCCTAGTAACGCTGCTATTCTGAAATGGCGAAAAAGTCACGCAGATCGAAGAAGAAGGCCGCAGAGGGAAGAAGTACTTCAGCAATTACGGGTGAGGTAGAAAATTTAGATAGTGGGTGTCGCGCCGCGGGTGGGTTCCGCGGGGCATCTATGCACCGATGGCTTCCGTGGAACCTCAACCGCGGTGCGGAGTGTTATAGAGATGATACCAAGGACTTGTGCCGCGCTGTCGCTTGGCCACGCGGTAGATTTTAGTAGTGCAGTCCTGCTGCCTTCAGCTTGGTTTGCCCCGAACTTTGATAGATGTACCTTTGCGTTGAGACTCGCGCGCTTAACGTGTTAGCATATGCTGTTTTGTCAAATGCGCTTAACCCTAAGCTTGCCTATCAAAGCTTCACAAACTCAATTCAGAATGGAAGTTAGGGAAAATGAAAACAGATTGTAATACTAGAGTTTCCTATACCCTTGCTACACTAGAAATACACATGTAAACTAGACATTTATACTCCTAAGCGATTATACTTCAACAACTTAGAAAACTACTCACTGAAACGACGGGCCTCTGCGTTACGAAGGGTCGTGGCCATACAACGTCCCTCTTTTCGCGGCTCCGGAACGAAGCCACGATCTCGAGGTTAGCTGCGTTTTCTGCATCCTTGGTGGCGTTGTTGCTCATCTTCGTGGTGGCGTGGTAGTTGCGACGAAGACTGAAGCGGATGACGATCGATAGACGTAGGATGCGGGAGCAGAACGAGGGGCTCGGTCACGGAGGGGCCTGGAAGGCCGTGCGAAGGGAAGGTGGTGACCAGACAGCAGCACGGGCGCAGGTAGACGACGAGACTGACTAAAACAGGCCGTGGCCTAAAACCCATTTTGCTGCTAGCGCTGATACTCAGCATATGCGCTAGCGCTGCGGGACCCTTTGCGGAGGACCTGACGACGGTCCTTTGAAGATGGTGGACTCGACGGAACCGATCAATATGCGAGAGAGTCCAGAGAATTCGTGCGAGGTCACGACAGTGGGTCTACTTCTTTCGATATGTCACCTATTTCAACGGAAGCTTCACCCTTGCATGAGGACACTTCTGCTCCGCAAGAGAGAGCCGCCACCCCACCGAAGCAGGGGCATGGGGGTTCGAAGCAGAGTAAGGATGGTCTGGCTTCAAAGCAAAGTTGAAGCCGATTCTGCAGTAGTGCATCTCACTTTGAAGAACTCTTTTAAGGTCTTTTCCTTCTCCGAGTCAGTTCGCGGCTCGTTGATCCCAACGCGCCCGATACGCGTTTTGAGATGACTATCCCTTCGAGGAAGAAGGGGACAGCGATCCCGATGCTCCATCGTCGGCTCAACAGGCCTTTCGAGAAACCTGTCCGTTTGGCAGGCTCGTGGGCAGACGAGATAACAAAACATCTGGTCCGCAAGCTCGTGTACTGCTCGTGTACTGTTCTTTTGTAATGGTGCACATTGTCTGTGTAACTCTTTGTTAGTGTTTCTCGTACTGCGCTAGTACAATGAAAGGTTCAAAATCAAATTGTACATGCATCACAACAAGATGGCTATTTTACACATAGTTAGCTGAAGAGAAAGGCATCAAAAGCTCTGTCAAGATCGAAGAATGTGTTGAATCGCCAATAAGAACTTCTTGTTGGCTCATCAATATCCAGATCTAGTTTTCAGGCTCTGACGCCCTGCGTTGTCGGGCTTCCTTCTCGAGAGCGAAAGCGAAGCAGTAGACCCCTATGTTTAGGTACTAACTACAAAAAGAGAAGAACTTGTGCTCTTTGTGCATCTTGATAGCGTGGAGGCTATGAAATGAGTGCGTACGGGATCAGTGAAGTCCAATCTTGTTCTGGTAGCGTCGCATGCGTTGGTCGGAGATGTGAATAGAGCAAACGTTGACAGTATAGAGGTAACGAAGTGGCAGAGACTCGAAAGCTATTTGTCAATGTCATGCAATACGTGTGGTAAGTTGCAGAACATTCTTATCTACCTCTTTTGATCATAACTGTTACGAAAAGGCCCAATATTTATGTGCTGAAATAACACTCAGTGGAAGACGCCTTTCTTATGAAGGTCAAAGGGCAGGAAAGACCTCCAAATTCTTTACCACTGCACACATTCCACTACCCTTGTTGAAGAAATCAGTGGAATGAGCAAAATAGGCTCTAACATGTGCAGCTTCGTTATAACAGTGACATCTCTACATGTGAGGTCAAATTTTTTGAGAGAAATGAAGAAAGTCTAAATTTGTTAAGGACTAATATATCATTGGAAGAGCGAGAACCATACTGAATGTGGTCGCGAATCGTATCCCTCAGCATCAATCGAATTTGGAAGGCGCCATTGCTGACCAGCGACTGGCAGCGCAAATTCCCAGAAAGCTCTTTCGAAAGATGGATTGAAAAACAGTAGTTAACAATTGCGGACACACTCTTACCTTCGCAGTCCAAGCGGAAACAGTGTTAGAGTTATTTATCTGACTATTTTGTGAAGCACTGTAAACGTAAATGTAACCTCATCCTAGGACGAAAAAGGTAGGTGAACAAACTGCACAAAAGATCTGCCTCATTCATTCCTGATTCACTACAAACTGCGATCAACAAAAAGCCTCACACACCTGCTCACAATCATTCGTTTCCGCAGCTAGCGCTGAATGCTAAGCAAAACTAACAACCAGCTAAAGAACTGCTGGGCAAAACTCACAACCGACTGAAGGAAACGACGAAAAGAAAAAGGATCACAAAGGAAGCTCACAGCATTTCATGATTTTACTGATTTTGTCAAGTTCCGAGGCAAGTGAACCACTCTTAGGAATTGCAAAATGGCTTTGAGCTCGCAAACGATATGGTTCACCTAACTCGGGCCCGTTTCCTTTCCTCAGGCTTGGTCAAAAACCCTCAACCACTATATTCCTGTATGAAATAGAAGAAGCGTATCGAAATTCAAAAAAACATCATGAAACAAAATAATCAACACATTGAACGCCGCGGCGTTTTTGCGGCGACTCCCGTTTTCACTTCCTGCGTCTCCGCGCGCGTGAATTGCGTGCAATACACAAACGCGCGAAACGGGAGTCTTTGTGCCGCATGCCCCTTTACACGCTCATTCTGGTTACTTTTGCGCTCATTTCTACATTGTTCAGTATGAATGATGACTTCTTTTAGCTGCATAGATGGATCTGGACAACGTAGAAGATCTAAACGTCAGTTTTGACAACATAAGTATTGTTATCATAATGAATTAAACACTATCAAATGTATTGCAAATTAACACTAATTATCACTAGTAGTCTTACTACCATTGTAGTGATGCGGAGCTATCATAAGAATTAAAATAACACTCAATTACTGACTGTTATTTTGTAATATTAATGAATTACTTCAATGAGCAGCTTATTTCACGCCATCAAGAACAAGCATAAGC